CTTATCCAATCGATTATGTGCCAAATCTTTCATCTCCCGTAGTAACGTAGTCGGTTTCTTGTCATTTAATTCGCATGACTCAAAAAGTCGCTTAAGCCTTTTCTCTGTCGACTCACCAAATTCAGCTAGTAGTCTCTCCTTTAACGCCTCGTACTTGCCCGTAGTTGGGGGAGATGCAATAATATCGCTGGCGTGCATTAAGATCGCCGAATCGATCTCGGCGACAACAGTGTAGTACTTGGTATCGTCTGTCGTGATACCAGCGCGCGCAAATTGCGCTTCGACCTGAGCAAACCACAGACGTGGATCAGGTTTCCAAAACGGCGGCGGCTTAACAGCAAGGCGCCCCAAATGCAGCATGTTTTCAGCATCCATAAATCTGTCTTCTCCTTCACTGACCATATTCATCGGCGGGGTCACCAGTTATAGAAGTCGTTTTCTATATTCTTAAATTTATTTAATATAATGAAAATGTCGAATTACAATTCACAAATGTTGCACGAATGAACAAAAGAAAATATATACCAGGAAATGTATGCAACAAGCAAAGGTATGTTTAATTACTTATTTCTTCAAAGTTTATAGAGTTGCCATCTTCGCGAGACGAATAATGTAGTAGGCCTTAACCCCTACAAATAACAGTTGCTGTGACTTACCGCTCTGTAAACATATGATATTTTGCTTGTCTGTGAAAGATTTTGACGATTTTTAGTTAAAGATGCAGTTTTACCATATTAAATAAGATCTTTCGATTGGTGTTAATTTATATTTCGTTTATATAGTCATATATTATATTTTATTATTTACATTTATATTTATAATTGCATTTATGTACATATCTAGTATTTATAAATTTTATAATCTTTTCCAGCTGAACATAATTTTAAAATTGAAGGGCGCTAAGGGTTGTGTGAAACACGTGTTGAGAAGCATTTTTGCCGACACTCTACTCATTTCATACAATTATGAGGGCAAAGCCAACAAAGCTCCACTTCTGGGGCTAAAAACAATAGAATTAGTTTTCGGTAAATATGTTTTAATTGTTTATTTGACTTATTTCAGGAAGTAATGCATTTATATTTTTCCAACAGATGCGTTCCTAAGCCACAATAGGTACAAACAAATTGTAATAAAAAAAAAATTAAACATAATAACAAATCTAACAATAATTAATTTAATTATCTTATTATTAATCTCTAAAAAAATGTAACATAAAAATTTAATAACTTTCCAATCTAAATTTCAAAAACGTTATTTAAATACGGCTATTCGGGATTTTTTGTATATCGACTGCGGAGTGGAAGATCGACCTCGGCAGCCAGTTCGAAAATGCCCTATCTCAAAAAACTTTTCAAGAACGCCCTATTTCAGAATTTTATTAAAAAACGCTTCCGAGTTCGGTTCAAAAAGGCCCTATCTCACTTCAAAATGTATTGAAAATGTGCTGAGATAGGACGTTTTTGAAACGAATTCTAAAAAACGAATTGAAAAGTTTTTTGAGATAGGATGTTTTCGAGCTGGCTGCCGAGATAGGTCGATCTTCCACTTAGCAGTTGATATGCTCTTGAATTCTGTATTTGTGGTTTTTGGTAGGTAATGAAGTAAACTTTTATATTGTATTGCTGTAAGAAATTTCACTACTTTTTCTACCAAAAACCACAAATACACATGCAAGGGCATATACAAAACATCCCGACTACCTTTATTAATTTGTAAATAATTGTAAATAGTGTAAAAAGTAAATTTTAACAATAGTTTTTTAATAATTTTATATTAAAATTTGCATACTGGAATTTTAACAACAAAAAACCTACCTACCTACCTATTTATAAAAGCTTAGTAATTAGTAAATGTAAATACATAGTTTTAAACATTTTAACAGCAGAAATAACAATAATTAATTGAATTACTCACTGATCTGATTATTTAAATTAATATTTTATTATTTAATAAATTTTAATACTACATTATTTTGTCATTATGAAAGCGGTCATATTTATGTTTTTAAATATGTTATTGAAATAAATAAATGAATAATGAAAAAATTACTTTTTGTACAACTTACTTAAAAAATTTGTGGTTATAAACACCATAGCACTAACTACTTCAGTAGGTATCGTTAACTACATGGTAACCATAATATTAGCTACTTCAGCAGCTATCTTTAGCTACATGTTAACCACAACATTAGCCACTTCAGCAACCATCGTTTGTTACATGTTCACCACAACATTAGCCACTTCAGCAACTATCATTATGCGCGTTCCTTATCTCCCAGAAATAGTCAGAAAAAGTCCGAAGTAGTCAGATTTAGTCCAAAAAGCGTTCCTTAACTCGGAAATGACAGCAAAAATGAGAGAGCAACAGTCAGTGAGAGTGACTCTCATCAGTCCGAAGTAGTCAGATTTAGTCAGAAGAATTTTTTCTGGCAAAATCCTGAAAAGTGTCAAACTCAACTGAATTTAAATTAACGGAAATTAAAGAATACGCAAAAAGTGAGAATAATCTAAAAAGTAAAAGAAATGAATTGAAATTGGAAGGAGGCAAAAAATAATTGATATAGCAAGTGTTTATTGTGCTTGTGCTTGTGTGAATGTGTTTTGTACATACATTTCTGTTCTTATTTGACGTTAGTTTTGTTGTTGCCATTCTTTGGACTAAAAATTTGGTTTTTTGCGTTCCTTTACTTTTCCTGTTACTCTCTTTTAGTGAGCGCATTTTGCTTACGCTCTGGCATTTTGACACTTTTCAGATTTTAGTCCAAAAAGATAAGGAATGAACCTATTAACTACATGGTAACCATAACATTAACCACTTCGGTCGCTATGAAAGGGGAATTAGAGTAGTTCAGCTATAGTTCGTTGAAATCGAACAGTTCTATTAGTGTAAGGGAGATAACGTATCACACGTATATGAAAAAGTGGTTAATATTTGCACACGGCTAGAACAAAGTTAGCCAGTTTATATACCGCTTCACAAATGAACGATAACTACCGGTTAACCACAATTCTAGCTGTTAGCTGTCTTGCAGGGATGGTAGATGTTTTCTTAAAATATTATATTTCACTTCAATTTGTAATAGTTTATTCCGAATAAATCTCCGGTTATCAAAAATTTACACAGCAGATTGGAAAAACTGTCTCACCATAGTAAAAACTACTGAACCCGCATGGCGTTAAGACGCCAAAATTGAGTTTAATATTTTAAACAGATGGCAACACTATTCACAAACAAAAAGGTCGTAACTTCGAAAAATAAAACCTTAATGCACATTTAGAATGACGGTGCTGATATGACACATTAAAGATCTGATGACCATAACCAAGAAATTATTTATTTATAAAAATTAACTCGAAACTAATTTTTTCGGTATATTATGGGTTTATTCGAAAGACCATATATTCCCATTAGTTATGGAACCCGATTTCATCATGTGACTGTATTCGCAGTAGCGCATCCTGTTAACCGAGTTCTCCAAGACCTTGTTGATGGTTTCTGGCTATATCGTAAGAAATGCCCGACATAAGCCTTAAAGGCCTGAATCGTTAATAGATTGCTCGCATTATATCGGTCCTTCACGACATGGCACAAAAATGTCTAAGGGCGTGAAATCGCGGCTCCGAGGGGGCCAATTGACTTCATCGAGACAGCTGATAATACATCAACTGTCAACTGTCTGTCAAAACGTAGACAGGGTGTTTAAAGTGATGTAGAAAACGACTAAAGTTAATAAAATAAAGATAAAATTTGGCAAAATATACATTGAATTAAATGAATTCCGATGTTTATATAACATTTTAATATTCAGCCTCATTGCATAAGTCGTAAATAAGGCTGAATTGTACGACTCGACGACATTAGCATTGTCTACTGTCGAGCTGAAAGAAGTAGGCGACGAAAATCGTCCAAAACTATGCAGTGCTGCCAAGCTTTTCCGTTTTAATACACTAGTCGAGTGGAAATTTTAGGCAATGACGTTAAGTTTTCGATAGGACTCGACTCTCGAAAAATGACTTGCATTCGGCACAACTCTCGCAATGAGGCTGATTTTAAAGCATTTTGGTCAATGACTACACTTAATAGAACTTTGTCAGATACCGTTTAAAGTTTTTTTTCCACATATTGAGTGTAACTCTGTAGCACATATAATGAGGTGATCTTAGCTGTGAGGTATTTCTGGAAATCATCCGATTCTTTTTTCATGGCACCGTCAGAATGGGTACTTTGCGTACGTTCCGTTTGTGTTTGCATAGAGAGCGTCAGATTGGCAACTCTTGCGGCGATGGACCCAGCGAACGTAGGCCAACACTCAACTTTTGACGCACGTAAGTCCGTCACTGCTGACAGTTGTATAACCCCGCGTTTACACAAGACAAGTACAATGAGAATATGCACATAATTTACACATTGCTTGAGTAAAGTAAGCATCCAGACAAAAACTGTCTTCGAAAAGCCAGAGACAGTGATAAATACATCAAGAGAAGTGGCAATATATCAGTAAAAAAATGTGAATGTGTTGCTATTGTATCTGAAAAATTGACTTGTGTAAACCCTAAGTACGCGGGCATAAGGAGCAGCTGATTTTTGTTTGCAGACGCAACACCTTCATTGTGACGTACATATCTCTACGGTACGTACGCCACTTCCTTCGCATACTTTTCCGTTATTGACGTACAAGTACCCATTCTGACGTGCATATCACTTGTAAGTATGCACAATGGTTGCCACTTTCGAAAATTATTACCAAAATTAGTCGACAAATTTTTGGTTGGCAAAAAGGTAAATTTTTTCATTTTGGTAGATTTTTGTTAGAAAAACAAATTCAACCTTTCGTACCCGCTTTATGTTTCGTA